GAATTTTGAATATATTATAAGAAAATATGAGAAATTGTCGGAGGGAGTGAGTGTAATTGTTGGGTGTAGTAATATTGGCTGTATTGAGAATCAAGCGATGATGTGTGGTTAGCATCAGGGAATTTATTCCTCAACGATAAAACTCTGGATTAATAAAAACAGACAATAATCCTGCCATTATAGAGGTAAGCATTTAAATTTTGATATTTTACTTTCCAAATATGGTAAAATTATGGTTATAGCGTTTATTTTAATGAGCAAGCGAGAGAAGGAAGATTTGACTGTGCCGAGAAATTGACTCCAATCCGAGCAGTAAACTTATTCAGTCTGTCTGTCATTTCTTGGCTCAAATTCAAATGAATATTCAATCGAAATCGACATTTTACTACAAAATGCATCATGCCGTGACTCTAATTTTTCAGCCGTCTGGTGTAATATATCTTATGCCCTTCAACTTCCAAACATGGTCTCATGATGCCCCCCTTATGGTCTTAAACATGGGCTCTAACCCTTGAACTTTGTCATACTTTATTGTAACTCCTCATTAGTTTAAACTGATTTGTACAATATTCACCAGTAATATTCAGTAGGGGACAGGGATCTAGTGGAGAGTGCAGGAGTGTACACTAGGCAGAAACTGGGCAGATTCTTATAAAGAAATTTGTAGAACTATGACAAAGACATGATGCACATAGCTTATGACTGGGGGATGTAAATTGTAAGCCCTGCCCCTAAGTTATTTTCACATATTATGAAATATACTGTTTTCATGATTGACAAAAGACAATTACACGACATCTGCTGGTTGGTTTTATGTGCAGTTGCTCATTTAAATGACTGGGGGTCTGTGGACTTCAATGGGAATTTAATTTTTAATATATTTTCTCCTGGGTTTGTGGGACTCGTGGAGTTAGTTCAGTCAGTCCGTTCAGTCTCTGTGGTAGTTCACTTCAAGTCCGAAACACACTCACGTCTCAACATAACAATAAAATCAGTATCCCAATTTTTATAAGCACAAATACATGCTAAGACTAACAGTACTATTCCAATTCTCATAAAAATAATGGATAAAGTTCAAAAAACTTTTTACTTTGCTCAGACAATAGTATAGAGTTTGCATAGTAAATCCTAAAAGATCAGACGCCATCCCTTCAGCATCAAAATACTACAGACTACAATCTGACTATAACAAAACACATCCCCATCTGTTCACCATTTTCCTTTACTTGCGAAGTTAGACTGAAACGTCCCAACTCAAGCCAACAAATGTCCTAAGAGGCAGATGTTTAGGACTACTATTGATTGTACATTTTTAAGCACTGATACTGACAGTATCTTATAGAACTATTACGACTGGTAGTTTCAGAGAATATTTTAAGTGCCTGGGTAGCCAGCAGGAGATAAAGGACTTTGATATTTAGCTATTAGATTACCTCTGAACACTTTTTAACATGAAGAATTTTATTCAACATTTTAATTCCACATAAAACAGATAGCATTGAGCCAACATGCAGGGTGTAAAGGGTGTGAAAAAGATAAAGGATCATGTGATTGCTGATATTGGGCTATAACATTTCATTAGATCACTTAGTAAATATTACATCAATCATGTTCAATCTACAAGAATTGTAGATTAAAGTAAGCCAATGTGGAGGTTGTAAAGTTCCTAAAGATAATTTTGCCTTGTGTTTTGTTAGATTGAAATTATGGAATTCTTCTGATTATATCTAAAGGCAGCTGTAAGCCATCTTAGAGAATGTAAAGGATATAAACAAGATGAATTTGAACACTAAGTTAGGTCGACTGCACCTGAAATACTGCAAAGATTTATAAAATATATTAAAAAGATTGTCTGATAAGCTTAAAAAGATATTTCAAGTTCATTGAAGGACAACTTTATCAGGTTTTTTTGTGCTCTAATATCTATTAATCTAGCTGTGAGCCAACATAGAGAGTGTAAAGGTGTACCTATTGTGCAAGGCAGTTTTATGCAAAGAAAGCTCACTTTTGTGTGGTAACTTGCCTCAGTAGCTATGAACCATGATAAAGGGGTATATAAAAAGGCTCAAAGGACATTTACAAGATACAAGATGTACCTTTATTCTTTATGCTGAGTTAAGGTGCGGTCACACGAGCTGTCTTGGTTGGAGATTTTTGTCGCCGACTTGATTTATTATATCAAACATGTTTGATTGTCTGCAAGACAGATCATCATTATCCAATCAGACTCCTTTTCCTTTCAATTGTATGCACTGCTCGTGATTATCAACAAGGTGGAAAAAGACCAACAGGAGATTTTTTTCACTTCATGTGCCTGTGCCAGTCCTCGAAACTCAAGACAAGACTCTAATTGGTGAGAAAAGTCTCCGACCAAGACCGCTCGTGTGCCTTTTAGGAATCAGTGATGGTGAAAGCTTCAATAATTGTTACATGTGGTTTTTGAAATCTTAACTTTTGTCTGGTAAATTGCACTAGTAGCAGTGAGCCAATTAGAACTTAAATAAAAAGAGTTTTAAAACACAGGTGTTTGATGGTTAGTTCACTTGGTTAGTTCGGAATCACAGAATATGTAAAGAGAAATAATGAATTGTAAATTGCAATGGTAGTGTCATTAGCCATTATACAGCTTAAAGTGATACTACATCTTACAATGAAAATTTAAGAATTTTAAACTTGGCCAATAAGAGCATATATTCATCAGTAGATATACCTGGTATCATAAATAACATAACAGGATCCTTATATAATCAGATAAATCTAAAAAAACTTAGTAATTATCCATAAATATGCAATTAACAATTGAAAAACGCTTAATATCAAGATTAAGCGTTTTTCAATAATTACTTAGTTTTATGAATTTTCCCGATTTTCCAGGGATTCTGTTATAACTTTATGCCACCAGGTAAGTTCACTGATGAATATATACTCATGTTGACAATTCTTGAGAACTTAAATTTTATGTTCACTCTAAGACGTATTATCACTTTATGAAGAACCAGAAAAGACATATCCTAGGTGTATTCCATTGGTTCGTCAGAGAAATCAGGAATCAGAGAATGTGTAAAGAATGAAGAATTGCAAATTGGAATGGAATTGTCATGAGCCATCATAATGTTTATGAAGATGTATCTTTGATGTATACTATACAGTGTATAAAGATTCCCAAATGAATACACAGTACAGAATCCCCGATATATGATAGTGTGAAGTCTATATTGACGATGTGAGAATGATATTGATATTTTGATTACCTGCTGGTTAATACATACTCGTTAACACTGGTATTAATTAGTTAATTCATCTGTTAGTTTATTGCTGATTGATCTAATAACCTCCATTGATCAATTTTGTAGTATTCCACATTCCATAATTCAGGTGTTACAATCCATGCGTTGAATACCAGGACTGTTTCTGCAAAGGTTTTAAAAGATAAATAACTAAGTTAAAGGGGTTGTAAAGAGGTTTTCTAAACTTTTTATGTGTATCGGGGACACTGATAGCATCAATTTTCACCATTCCAATTTTCATTCTGATTTCTGTGGTTCTTGCAATTCTACTAATGCGTTTTATGACGTCAGTGGAGGGATGAAAATTGGAATGATGTAAATCAATGTCCCCAATACAAATAAAAATTTACAAAACCTCTTTACAATACCTTTAAGTGAGTTGGCAACTTTTCTAAAAAGCTTTCCAAAGATTAACAATGCTTCACAAAAATATTGTGTTGAATTTTTTTTTTTTTTGCGATTCGGATCGTTAGTACTTAGTTTATTTTATGAAAATATTGTTAGTAAGTAATCCAACTACCAACAACTACCTAGTTTGCGATATCAGCATCCACTGGAAGCGAACTGTAACTTGTCATCTACCAACAACTACCTAGTTTGTGATATCAGCATCCGCTGGAAGCGAACATTAACTTGTCATCTACCTACAACTACCTAGTTTGCGATATCAGCATCCGCTGGAAGCGAACATTAACTTGTCATCTACCAACGACTACCTAGTTTGCGATATCAGCATCCGCTGGAAGCTAACGTTAACTTGTCATCTACCAACAACTACCTAGTTTGCGATATCAGCATCCACTGGAAGCTAACGTTAACTTGTCATCTACCAACAACTACCTAGTTTGCGATATCAGTATCTGCTGGAAGTGAACGTTAACTTGTCATCTACCAACAACTACCTAGTCTGTGATATCAACATCCACTGGAAGCGAACGTTAACTTGTCATCTACCAACAACTACTTTGTTTGCGATATCAACATCCACTGGAAGCGAAGGTTAACTTGTCATCTACCAACAACTACCTAGTTTGTGATATCAACATCCACTGGAAGCTAACGTTAACTCGTCATCTACCAACAACTACTTTGTTTGCGATATCAACATCCACTGGAAGCGAACGTTAACTTGTCATCTACCAACAACTACTTTGTTTGCGATATCAACATCCACTGGAAGCGAAGGTTAACTTGTCATCTACCAACAACTACCTAGTTTGTGATATCAACATCCACTGGAAGCGAACGTTAACTTGTCATCTACCAACAACTACCTAGTCTGTGATATCAGCATCCACTGGAAGCGAACTGTAACTTGTCATCTATCAAACATATTGTTAAGTCGCTAAAGGATGATATTGTTTAGTGTTATTCTCAATTTGATACATTTTTGTATTTCATACTTATTTACATAAAAAAGATGTTTTATGTAATAATCTGGTATAATCAGGGTTGGCCACATTAAAAAATCTCATTATAATACAATCAAAAGAACATGTCATGTTATAAATTCTATCCTGTATTGTTATTTTATATAACAAGTATGTTTTGATGTATTGGCTGTAACATGCTGTATTTCACTGTGTTATATTGTTAGTATCGTTTGACATGAAATGATTGATAGTATTATCGTGTGGGTAACAAATTCAAACTGCACCCAAACATTCATTGGTTTTAATGTGAATGTTAAAAACTTGCTGAAAATGTAGAAATTTAGAATACTTTTGTGTAAAGGATTAATCTGATTACCTTGAGTCTATTTTTGATGCGGTCAGAGTTAGGAATGAATGGTAAGGGTTTGCTGTCAGAGTTAGGAATGAATGGTAAGGGTTTGCTGTCAGAGTTAGGAATGAATGGTAAGGGTTTACTGTCAGAGTTAGGAATGAATGGTAAGGGTTTGCTGTCAGAGTTAGGAATGAATGGTAAGGGTTTGCTGTCAGAGTTAGGAATGAATGGTAAGGGTTTGCTGTCAGAGTTAGGAATGAATGGTAAGGGTTTGCTGTCAGAGTTAGGAATGAATGGTAAGGGTTTACTGTCAGAGTTAGGAATGAATGGTAAGGGTTTGCTGTCAGAGTTAGGAATGAATGGTAAGGGTTTGCTGTCAGAGTTAGGAATGAATGGTAAGGGTTTGCTATCAGAGTTAAGGGCATGATTTTCACTTCAGTATAATACAAACAACCAAAAGATACAGACTTGTATGGACACAGACAAGGAGTGGAGGCCATCTCTTTAAAAGATTTTCAAAAACCTTTCAACCTTCATTGAAGCTTAGAGAAGTATACCCCTCTTGCTCCCCAAATGATACAAACACAAATTGGAGGATATTGTCATTTAATATAAACTATTTATTAAACAACTATAATTACAAGTAATAATTAAATTAAAAAACCCACTATCAACTTGTGATAGGGCTTTAACACACAAATTTTACCCAAAAAAAACACCATACACATTTAAGGCAGACCAAATTAAAAGCGTTAAATGTTGACATAAGTTCATGCTGTCTATACAGTTTTATGTATTAACCTTATTCAATGGCTTTTAATTTCTAGGGAATTTTGAGCGCAAGTTCTGATTATCAGTTTTATAAGTCAGTTTCCTCTGCTAAAAACAGATATGAATTATAAAAGTTATAGGAGAGGCAGTATTAGGTCGGCCAGTCCAATCTGTGTGAAACAACATGTAGTCTTCAATAACTTTTACCTATTGAACTTCTAATGAAAGTAAATTTCTCACTGTAACCTGATCATAAATATATAACTTTGAAGGTACAAAAAAACTGCTTCAAACCGAATATTATTTTAATTTTCATCAAAATATCATGTTGAAGGTCAAAATATAAATAAATAAACACCAAATCCATCAATGAGTTTTTAAAACAATTCGATAATTTGTTTGACTCTTTTGATGCAAGTAAATTTCAAACAGATTCAAAGTTTAAATCATCATCACAATGTCACGTTGAAGGTCAAAATAAACTTGCGTCTGCATCTAAAAAAAAACTTCAAAACCATTGAAAATATTTGATCAGGAAAATGTTGGTTACATCCTGTTGATCTGAGTTTGATAATGAAATAAGGTTTTTAGATAAAATGAGTAAGAATTATTTGGTATTTAGTAATCAGTAGGTTATGATAACCTCCTGCCAAAAACCATCATCACATCTTCAAATCCTTTATAAATGTTATCATACTAATGCAAGTGAAATTTTCAATTTTTTTAATATGATTTATTGTCATGGCAACATTTTGATATTTTGAAAGGTGTAATAAGTTATGATTGGGTAGTTTTTTTTGTTATATTAAAGTGATGTTGTTCTTAATATGTCTGTTATCTGCAGATACAGTTTTTATTGTCAGTAAAGTAAAAAGTTAGTGTGATTTTTGTCCATGAAATGCCTCACAAATGAAAGATCAATGATGTAAGTTTACTGATGCTACAGGAACACCATTGTGTTGCTAAAAATATAATTCACTAATTCAAATTTTACTGTTGGAGACACATTCCTAAACAAACAAACATAGAAAAACTTGGACAGCAGTGGATAAAGGGAGGAGAGAGGGAAACACGTTAATAACAAACCAATTTCTAAAAGTCTTGAAGAGGTGTACTGGTGACTGTCAACTTCTGGAATGACAAACCACGTGACATTCAGAAGTCATTATCTTCTATAATGTTTATTTATGTTTTAAGAAAAGTTTCACCTCAACTGCTGCCTGTATGGAACCTTGAACCTTCAGGTTAGCCAGCAGGAATCTAAACTAACTGAGCCACTGGTGAAAAATTGTTGATGGGTTAAAAACAATGATTATAAACAGGATGAATCTAGACCACTACGCTGATGACAAAAAAAAACTTTCTCTCGCATGAACTCAGTCACGTTTCCATCCACTCATACGCAGACCGGCTACCTGTCCATATTTGGCAATCAGTCAAGTTAACAACAGCAGATCCTGAGAATTAATGGAATCTAAGCCTGTAATATAGAAGAATGAGAAAGAGTAGAACTAATGGAAATATAATGGAATTTTATAATATTTTATCTAATAATAACACAGTTCTATACAGTTCTATTGAAGAGCCGTGGACCAGCATAGAAAATAGTATTCACATTATCGGAAACAAATAATGCTTTTAGACTGCAGACATTTTTTATATGGAACAAAAAATTAACAATAGATCGTTTCCGTTTTATATTTATATCAGGAAAATCTCTTTCACTTTCTTTTTAATACTTTTTATAGAGTTATAAACTATTTAATACTTACAGATTTGAGGTTTTAGTTAAATTTAGAAAGCTTATTTTAGTCTGTCCTGTGTATTAAACCTATTTTAGACGTTTAGTTGGTTGATTTGTAATGATTAACAAGTTACTTAGGTTGGTTGAAAGGTAACAAGTTACTATTCAACAGAAGGCACTTGCACAGGGTTAAAACAGTGATCACTAATTGTTGAGGTTAGGGTGGTTGAAAGGTAACAAGTTACTATTCAACAGAAGGTACTGGTACAGGGTTAAAACAGTGATCACTAATTGTAGAGGTTAGGGTGGTTGAAAGGTAACAAGTTACTATTCAACAGAAGGTACTGGTACAGGGTTAAACAGTGTTCACTAATTGTAGAGGTTAGGGTGGTTGAAAGGTAACAAGTTACTATTAACAGAAGGTACTGGTACAGGGTTAAAACAGTGATCACTAATTGTAGAGGTTAGGGTGGTTGAAAGATAACAAGTTACTATTCAACAGAAGGTACTGGCCCAGGGTTAAAACAGTGATCACTAATTGTAGAGGTTAGGGTGGTTGAAAGGTAACAAGTTACTATTAACAAAAGGTACTGGTACAGGGTTAAAACAGTGATCACTAATTGTAGAGGTTAGGGTGGTTGAAAGGTAACAAGTTACTATTCAACAGAAGGCACTGGCCCAGGATTAAAACAGTGTTCACTAATTGTAGAGATTAGGGTGGTTGAAAGATAACAAGTTACTATTCAACAGAAGGCACTGGCCCAGGGTTAAAGCAGTGTTCACTAATTGTAGAGGTTAGGGTGGTTGAAAGGTAACAAGTTACTATTCAACAGAAGGCACTGGCCCAGGATTAAAGCAGTGTTCACTTATTGTAGAGATTAGGTGGTTGAAAGGTAACAAGTTACTATTCAACAGAAGGCACTGGTACAGGGTTAAAACAGTGATCACTAATTGTAGAGATTAGAGTGGTTGAAAGATAACAAGTTACTATTCAACAGAAGGTACTAGTACAGGGTTAAACAGTGTTCACTAATTGTAGAGATTAGAGTGGTTGAAAGGTAACAAGTTACTATTCAACAGAAGGTACTGGTCCAGGGTTAAAACAGTGTTCACTAATTGTAGAGGTTAGGGTGGTTGAAAGATAACAAGTTACTATTCAACAGAAGACACTGGCCCAGGGTTTAACAATGTTCATTGAAAACAAGGATTTTTTTTTTTATAAAATATCTAATCATCTGTCCTGTAGTAAACCTAGTAGATTAGTCGTTATTAAGGTGTTTTTTAAGTAGATTATCATGTAGTCTGGTAAGTGAAGGACTGGTAGTTGTTGATTAATAGTGTTACTCTATAATGTTGAGCTAATTTGATGATATTTCACTGGTATTCATTAGCTGAACCTTGTATTAGTAGAGTTTTTCATGGAGATTATCATGTAGTCTGGTAAGTAAGGACTGATAGTTGTTGATTACTAGTGTTACTCTATAATGTTGAGCTAATTTGATGATATTTCACTGGTATTCATTAGCTGAACCTACTCACTATAATGTTGAGATTAGTTCACCTCTTCTTTAATCCTGGACCAAATTTCCTCACTTTGTGATTTATCTTCAGCAAGTAAAGTCAGTTTTTTGTGAATATTTATATATCATAATGCCACCTAGAGGATGTCCGAATCAGAGGAAAGCGTCTGAAGTTGTGGAGGTCAGTGAATCACCTGATGATAATATATTAGTAAGGCCAGAAATATCTATTAAAGCTCTAGATTATCTTGGAGGATGAAGAAATTATGAAGGTGGTCATGATGTCATTAATCGTGAAGGGCCTTATTTGATGAAGCATATTTTACAGTTAGTGCAATTGTCAGTTGTAGTAGAATTGCAGGAACCACAGACGTCTGATTGAAAATTGGAATGGTGTAAATGATCGGTGTCCCAAACACACAATTTTTTTAGAAAACCTCTTTTACAATCCCTTTAACTACCATTGGCGTCAGTAATCTGGAATATCCTGCAAGTCAAGAGATCGGATGGAATTATTCTGTACATGAATATATCGATTATTTCATGGCCTTATTTCTGGTGTATTTCTATTTCTATATTAGTTTTATCGTCTTATCTTGGCCAATATTCTGAAATATCAAATACATTTCTTCATGATTCCTAACTCATTCAAGGTCATTGTCCCATTTGATGCTGTGAAATTGATTGTATTTTTTAGTGCTGGGAATTGTTAATCATGATACAATACATATAGCGATATGAGGTAATGGGATAAATATCAACATTTTATCTTCAAAGTTTCTATATATGTTAATATATAACTTTATAACTGTGATATTTGGTAATATAGTTGATAGAAGTGGTTAGCGTCCACTGTCTAATAAAAAGTTTCTATATATATTAATTTATAACTTTATAACTGTGATATTTGGTAATATAGTTGATAGAATTGGTTAGCGTATACTGTCTTATAAATAGTTTCTATATATATTAATTTATAACTTTATAACTGTGATATTTGGTAATATAGTTGATAGAAGTGGTTAGCGTCCACTGTCTTATAAAAAGTTTCTATATATATTAATTTATAACTTTATAACTGTGATATTTGGTAATATAGTTGATAGAAGTGGTTAGCGTCCACTGTCTTATAAAAAGTTTCTATATATATTAGTTTATAACTTTATAACTGTGATATTTGGTAATATAGTTGATAGAAGTGGTTAGCGTCCACTGTCTTATAAATAGTTTCTATATATATTAATTTATAACTTTATAACTGTGATATTTGGTAATATAGTTGATAGAAGTGGTTAGTGTCCACTGTCTTATAAAAAGTTTCAATATATATTAATTTATAACTTTATAACTGTGATATTTGGTAATATAGTTGA